GGACGGAGTGCGGTAGGGGAAGAGGCGGTAGTAGGGTACCGACTCGTCGAACGTGACGTCCTGGGAGGACAGAACACGTCGAGAGGTGGGGTGGTAAAACTGCCACCCAGGAGCGTCGGGGGGGAACCCCAGGAAGACGCAGGGAGAAGCACGAGGGGACAGCTTGTCCGCAGACAGGTCGCGAACAAACGCCCGAGATCCCCAGACCCGGAACGCCGACGCATCGCCAACCTTCCCCGTCCACAGCAGGGCTGGGGAGGTCTCCGGTCGAGAGACCCTGGGGTGGAGGTTGATCTGGTGCGCAGCGTACCTGACCGCAAACGGCCACAGAAAATGGGGAGCAGCCGCATGCATCATGGACGTACGAGCGACGTCCATGACCATGCCAATGCGGCGCTCAGCAATCCCATTCTGCTGCGGTGAGTCCGGAAGCGTGAAGGTCTGACGGATGCCTCGCGCACGACAGTAGGCACTCAGGAGGGCAGAGGAGAACTCTCCGCCTCTGTCCGAGTGCAGACGCAAAACAGGGAAGTCAGAGCCAAAGCTTCTCCGAAGCTGGAGACGAGCTGCGCGGATCCAGTCGATCAACACCGCAGTGACCTCACCCTTGCTGCGCAAGGGGAAGACTGTGGTGTAACGCGAGTAGTCGTCAACCACCAGCAGGAAGTAGCGCTCCTGACCCTGTCCACGGACGCGGGCTGGGCCCCACACATCCATGTGAAGCGTCTGCAACGGGGCCTCTGTCGGAGGAAACTGGGAGGAGTGAGGGGCAGCACGCTGGCGCCCCTCGACACAGGGGACACAGGTGGGGCCAGGGCCCGGAGGAAGGGGAGGGAGAGACCGGGGAAGACCAGACACAAGGACTCGCGAGGCCATGCCTCTGAGCCGAAGCAGGGAGGGGTGGCCAAGGCGGTGGTGCCAGAGGAGGGTCTCGTGAGACAGACGACGACACGAGCAGGGGGCAGACTCAGGACCAGACCTGGACGCTGCAGCAAACACCTGACCAGACGAAGGGACCCTACCAGACTCAGCACCTGGAGGAGAAGCAGTGGTCAGTGTGTACAGGCTCGACCCTAGCCGACGTGTAAACGTAGCCAGGTGGCGACCTGTATCCGCCTCCGTGCAGTGGGTCACCCGCTGACGAGCAGGGGTGAACTGGTGGACACCCGCATCCTGGAGGTCAGCACCACTCACCAAGTTCGTCGAGAACGAGGGGAGGTAAAGACCAGTCAGGGTGCCAGAGGGGGCCGCCGGACACGGGAGGACAGTGGAGAAGCGAGACAGGACAGGCCCCCCAGAAGGGTCAGCCAGGGACACCGCAACCGGCCGACTCAGCGGCGTAAGAGTGGTGCGGTCCCGAAAGAAGGAGTGAGACGCTCCAGAGTCAAGGGTGAAGGTGTGAGAGGCCGAAGCCGACACAGTACCTGAGAGGGCAGACTCACCAGCACCTGAGAGCACAGACGCACTGGCACCTAGAGCAGCAGCCTCACTAGTACCTGACGCGGCAGTACCAATGCCCGGGTCGGGCGGGAAACACCGGTAACAGTCATCCTCATCACTACCAATCGCAGCATACATAGCAGAGAGAATAGCATCAAAATCAAGATCATAAATAGCTACACCAGCCCTAGACAGCTCTCCCCAGCGGGGGATCTCAGCTGCCTCCGGAAACTGCTGACGCCAGGCGTCAGTCAGGCGGCCAAAGCAGCGGCGGGCAGTGTGGGCGCCTCCACACCTCTCCCCTGCACGGTCACCGGTGCGGAGAACGTAGGGGCAAGGACCAAGCGCACCACCACGCTGACGCTGCGAGTACCACTCACGGAGCTGCTGAGGGGCGGGGACGGTGCGAGAGCGCTGCTGCTGCTGTGGCTGCTGCTGCGGCTGCTGCTGCTGCTGCTGCTGGCGCTGACCACCCCCAGAGCTGCTCCGCTGGGACGAGCCACTCCGACCCCCACCTCCACCGTCACCCCCGCGTCCACCGCCACTCCCGTCTCCACCTCCACCTCCCCCACCAGGACCGTCGCTCCCACCGCTCCCACCGCCTCCTCCGCTACCACCACCGCCGCCACCACTGCCTCCACCGCCGCCACCAGTACCTCCACTCCCGCCACCACCCCCACCGCCACCCCCACTCCCCCCGCCACCCCCACCGCCTCCTCCACCGCCCCCTCGAGCTCCACCCGCTCCCTTGCCCCCCTTGCCCTTGCCAGAGCGGCGTCTGCCGCTGGGGGCAGACGCCGCGCCGACCGACTCAAAACCAGTGAGGTCGGCCGCAGCGGCAGAGGCGACAGAGGGCAGCAGGGGGGAAGGACCACACCCCTCAAAGATGGGGGTGCGAGGGTCACCCCGAGAGGCCCCTACAACGACAATACTCTTCTCAGCCGCTAGCAGGGACTCCTCAAGGAGGTCGACAGTGAGAGTGGTGGGACAGACAGAGAGAAACTGGTCCCTAACGACACGAAGGGACTCAGGGAGACGGGTGACGAGAAAGTAGAGAGTGATGTACATGGGAGGAGGGTTCGCAGCGCGGAACTCAGCAGGAAGGGCAGCGCGGTAGCGGGTGTCACTAGCACGGAGGTGGGTAACTAGGTCAGCGACAGTGGGAAAGGAAGCGAGGTCAGGGAAGAGAAACGGTAGCATGAGGCGGCTAAGGGTAGCGGAGGAAGGGGAGGAGTAGCGTGCAACTACAGCGTCGTACAAGGCCTGAGCGGTCTTGCACTGACTAAAGTGGGCACGCTCGGAGGAAGGGAGGTGGCGACGCACAGCAAGACGTGCAGCAGCATCGCGGGTCGCCCACTTGGAGCGAACGGCGGAATCAGCATCAGGAGGAGGGGCAGGGACAGCGCCAGAGACAAAGTCAAAGAGAGAGACCTCATCGACCGCATCACACAGTAAGTACAGCTGCAGGTCCTCAATCCAGACTGCAAAGTCAATGGCTCTACCCTCAGCATCAAATGCTAGGACATTGGGGGTGGCCATGACAGCAGCTGACAGTCTCACCAGGCAGGAAGAGTCGGGTAGGTCAGCGGCGCAGGTACACAGCCCAGGAGCAGCAGCAGTCCGACAGGAGCAGGAGAGCAGCTCCTCTGGCGGCTCGGGCAGCTCGGGCGGCTCGGGCGGCTCGGGCGGCTCGGGCGGCGCGGGCGGCTCGGGCGGCTAGGGCGGCTCGGGCGGCCCGGGTGGCTAGGGCGGCGCGGGCGGCTCAGGTGGCTCGGGCGGATCACGGGCGGCGGCGGCACACGGGCGGCGGCTGCGATGTCGGCGGCTCACGAGCGGCAGCGGCGGCGTCTGCGGCTCACTAGCGGCAGCGGCGGCGTCGGCGGCTCACTGGCGACGGCAGCGGCAGCGGCGTCTGCGGCTTACGGGCGGCGTCGGCGGCGTCGGCGGCTCACGCGTGGCGGCGGCGGCGTGGGCTGCGCACGGGCGGCGTCGGCTGCTCACGGGCCGGCTGAAGGCCCACGGGTGGGCGGTGCGCGGGCAGCGCCGGCTCACGAGCGGGCGGCGTGACGGGCGGGCGGCGGGACGGGCGGCGGCGTCACGGGGGGCGGGTGACGGGATTGGCGGCGGCGTCACGGGCGGCGGCGTCACGGGCGGCGGTTCACGGGCGGCTGCGTCACGGGCGGCGCTCACGCGCGGCGCTAAAGGGTGGCGACGGGCGGCGGCTCACGGGGGGCGCTACGGGCAGCCGCACGGGCGGCGCTAACGGGCGGCCGCACGGGCGGCGCTACGAGCTGTGCAAGAGGCGGCGCAAACGGGCAGCCGCACAGGCGGCGCTAACGGGCGGCGCTAACGGGCGGCGCGAACGGGCGGCTCGAAAGGGCGGGCGCTAGGGCGGGCGTTAGGGCGGGCACTAGGGCAGGCGCCAGGGCAGAAAAAAAAAAGTTCTAGGTGGTGGGCCCGAAGCACAGTTCCCACAGGGGAACCTGCTCTGATTCCATGTGAACAAGTGAACGAGGGAATGGAATGACTATGAATGAAGTGAGTACAAATAGGAAACCCTAATTGGGTGTACCCCTTATGGGATACCCCACTATAGCCTACAGAAACAAGTAAGCTATAAGTTCTGACACATACCGCTGGATTTTGATACTATTTGTACGTTAGTTCGGCATGATCCTGTTACGTGCGCGCGATATTATGATTTCAGAAAGAGAGCGTTGTTTTCGAGGTTATTGAATGCGGCGTCACCTGTACTAGGAGGTATTCATGATTACTTCGCATTGGACGAGTTCCAGCATCGAGGTGCGCCGCATACTCATGCCGTCCTTTGGAGCAAATCGTCTAAGGATATTGCTGCAGATTCTGCGACGGATATTATAAAATTCGCAAATCAGCACATCAGTTCGTCGTCCGAAGGATTGGATTCTCAACTTCTACTCTTACAAACCCACAGGCATTCCCGAGCCTGCCGACGTCGGTCAACCAACAGTACACGATGTAGATTTGGGTTTCCAAGGTTTCCGCTTCCGTCTACAATGATTTTACATCCTATTTCCACTACACTGACAGAAAAAGAACACAAGGAAATAAATAATAATCTCAGGCACATATACGAACGCTTGGAAACAGTACCAACTCTTTCAGAAACGTTTCATTCATTTTTAGACAACCTAGAAATTTCCTTTTCCGAGTATGTATTGGTGATTCGATCTACTCTAAGTGGGTGCACTATGAAATGAAACAAGTACAAGTACCAACCCTAATTGGGTTGTACCCCCTATGGGCTACCCCACTACAGCCTAAATATATGCATCAGTAATATAATCATCTGACACACCCCCATAGGCAAAGTGGGGGAGAGCAAGGGGTCACAAGACCAGTCAAGCAAAGCAAAGCAAAGCAAAGCAAGCTCAGGGTGGATCTCAAGGATACCACACAAATTCCGAGCACAAGGACAAGGCCACAAGGCCAGTTCACAAGCAGCAGAGCATATATATATATATATAACAGTGCTAAACAAGCAAGAGCAAGGATATATATATGCAGCAGTACAAGCAAGGTCAAGAGGTAAGCAAGTGAGGCCCAGTGGGCACAAGGCCTAGCAGAGTGCAAAAGCGCTGATGGTCACGAGGCGGAAGTGCCTTGGTGAACACATCAGCAGTGTTGGCCTCAGTGGCCACGAAACGCAGGCGAAGCTGACCACGCTGCTGCAGCTCTCGAGCAAGGAAGTAGCGCAGAGCAATGTGCTTCTTCCTGTGCTCCAGTCTGTGCTCCTCACACAAGGCAATGGTTGCCTTGTTGTCAACGTACAGCACTGGAGGAGAACGAGGCCGCTCTCCAAGGTCAGTCAGCAGGTAGGTGAGCCAGCGAAGCTCCTGGGCAGCCATGGCCGTGGCGTAGATCTCAGCCTCACAGCTGGAGCTGAGAACCGAAGAAGAGCGAGTAGAGCGCCAAGAGACAGAGCCAGAGCAAAGACTGAAGGTGTAACCCTGAGACGACCTCTGAGTAGCCTGGTCGTCAGCCCAAGAAGCGTCTGAGTGCCCAGTGAGCACAGGCCGCTCACGCCCTCCAAGCACTAGCCCCATGCCCGACGTACTGCACAAGTAGCGCAACACCCTCTTAGCTGCATCCATGTGCTCCTTCCGGTGACGGCCGGGAGCAACATAGCGTGCTAAGATGCTGAGAGGGTATGCGAGGTCAGGTCGAGTGCAAGTCATCAGGTACATGAGGCAGCCCACAAGCTCTGGATACAGACCACTCGACTCTACGGACTCATCCGAAGGCAGAGCTGAGAGCGAGTGTCCCGTAGGCAGAGGAGTGGACTGAGGCGAGGAGTACGTGAAGCCGAAGCGCTGAAGGACCTGCTGCACCATGTGTGACTGAGTCAGGGTAATGGTGCGGCGTGCTCTGTCCCGGGTGATCCGCAAGCCAAGATAGCTTGTCAGTTCACCCAGGTCTGTGCACGTGTGTCTCTTCTGCAGCTCGGACTTCACGTGGGCGAGTGCGGCAGTGTCCGCAGTGGCAAAGACCAAGTCGTCGACGTACACGAGGATGTAGAACGGCGGCAGCGAGGTGTCGGTGCGCAGAAACAGCGACGGGTCAGCAGTAGAAGGAGCAAACCCAAGAGTCGCAAGTGTAGTCCTCAGTGTGTCGTGCCACTCACGCGGCGCCTGGCGGAGACCGTGGACTGGCCGCCGGAGGCTCCACTGGGTACCAGGAGGGAACGACCCAGTGAAGCCAGGTTGGCGGCGCAGCCAGATCTCCTCGTGCAGGCGGCCCTGCAGGAAAGCAGTGCTGAAGTCAAGAGAGTGTAGCTCGTAGTCACGCTGAGCAGCGACGTGCAGTAGAACCCGAAGAGTGGTCATCTTCGGGGTCAAGGAGATGGTCTGAAAGAAGTCAACTCCCTGTCGCTGACTGAAGCCACGAGCCACGTAGCGCGCCTTGAAGACAGGCGGAGAACCCGGCGGCCGCTTCACCCTGAAGATCCCCATGCCACTGACAATGTTCGCCCCAGGAGGGGGAACAGCGTCAACGTAGGTGCCTGTGGACTTCCAGGAAGCCATCTCTGCGTCCATGGCTGACTGCCACTGAGAGGAGTAGCAACCGGCCATCGCCTCTGCGTAAGAGCGTGGGGTCGGGATGTCTAGAGCATCCGGGTCTCCCTCAGGGGCAACAAGCATGGACACGAGATGGGGCAAAGCGGCGGCAAAGCACTAGAACTCCTCCTGCCTGTCCTCAAGGACGTCCGTGCCAAGAGCACAGTCACCCCCGACGGACGGAGGACAGGCAGACGCAGACGCAGCAGACGCAGACTCAGCAGACTTAGCAGACTCAGCAACAAGACTGGCAGCGTAGTCCAGACGACACGCAGCAGCAAAGTCGACCAGCTCAGCAACTAGGGCAGACGCAGCAGCGGACTCAAAGGAAGGGTCAGTGACAAGAGTAGCAAGAAGACGCGTGACAGTAGGACTGGCAGCACGGTGAGAGTCCGACTCCGGGTCGGCAAGAGTAGGAAGAGAAGACTGAGGAGGAGAAGGCAAAGGGGCACGCAGAGGAGCAGTGGACGGACGCAGAGACATCTGGTGCGTGCCAGGGACAGGAGGAGGACGCTGACGCGAACCGCGACCACTAGGGCGAGCAGCTCGGACTGGCGACACAGGGCGGGACGCAGGCTCACGACGCTCAGCAAGACCTCCAGTAGGACCAGCGTAGGGAGAAGGAGAAGGCAGAGGAGAGGCGGGCTGTAACTGTGACCGTGACGGGACAGGCTGCGGACACTCTACGGGAGGAGAAGGACCAGTGGAAGGCGGGAGACCAAGAACCTGCTGAAGGAGCGGAACGAAGTACGGCCGAGGCCGCGCAGCACCGCCAGAGACAGCAGGGACAGCACCAACACCTCCAGAGGCAGCACCAGCACCAGTAGCAGCTCCAACTCCAGCACCACCAGCAGCTGCAGAAGTACCCGCAGTAGGACTGACAGTCGTAGCCTCAGCGCCAGCACCCGTAGCAGCTCCAGCTCCAGAGGCACCCCCGGGCCCGGCAGCTCCAGTACCCTCAGTACGAGCACCTCCGGGACCCGTGGTACCAGCTCCCTCGGCAGCAACGGAACCTCCAGCACCCGCAGTACCCCCGGCTCCAGCATCTCGCCTCCAGCGCCGGGCAAACCACTCACGCAGCTCCAGAGGAGAGAGCGGCTCGCGGCGCGAAGAACGGTCTGGAGAACCACCAGGAACAGAAGCAGCAGGCGCAGCACTCCCGGACGCAGAACCCCCAGGCTCAGGACCCCCAGGCACAGCACCCCCAGGCTAAGCACCCCCAGGCTCAGCACCCCCAGTCACAGCACCCCCAGGCTCAGTACCCCCAGGCTCAGCACCCCCAGGCTCAGCACCCCCAATCGCAGCACCCCCAGGCTCAGTACCCCCAGGCTCAGAACCCCCAGGCTCAGCACCCCCAGTCTCAGCACCCCCTGTCTCAGCACCTTGAGGCTCCGCACCCGCAGCAGCACCAGAGTCACCAGTGACCTCGACAGGCTCGACCGCGTCTACCTGAGACACACCTGAAGGGGCAGGACCCTGAGGGGGGAGGGGGTCTACCGGGGGGGGACCTGGGACCAGGAAGAGGGGCGGGGGGGGGAGGGACGGAGTGCGGTAGGGGAAGAGCCGGTAGAAGGGAACCGACTCGTCGAACGTGACGTCCTGGGAGGACAGAACACGACGAGAGGTGGGGTGGTAAAACTGCCACCCAGGTGCGTCAGGGGGGAAACCCAAGAAGACGCAAGGAGCAGCACGAGGGGACAGCTTATCCGCAGACAAGTCGCAGACAAACGCCCGAGATCCCCAGACACGGATCGCCGACGCATCGCCAACCTTCCCCGTCCACAGCAAAGCTGGGGAGGTCTCCGGTCTGGAGACCCTGGGCTGAAGGTTGATCTGATGTGCGGCGTACCGAACCGCAAACGGCCACAGAAAATGGGGGGCAGCCGCATGCACCATGGACGTACGGGCGACGTCCTTGACAATGCCGATGTGGCGCTCAGCAATCCCATTCTGCTGTGGAGAGTCCGGAAGCGTGAAGGTCTGGCGGATGCCTCGTGCCTGACAGTAGGCTCGCAGAAGACCGGAGGAGAACTCTCCGCCTCTGTCCGAGTGCAGACGCAAAACAGGAAAGTCCGAGCCGAAGCTCCGCCTGAGCTGGAGACGAGCTGCGCGGATCCAGTCGATCAACACCTCAGTGACCTCACCCTTGCTACGCAAGGGGAAGACTGTGGTGTAACGCGAGTAGTCGTCAACCACCAGCAGGAAGTAGCGCTCATGACCCTGTCCACGGACGCGGGCTGGGCCCCACACGTCCATGTGAAGCGTCTGCATCGAGGCCTCCGTTGGAGGAAAAGGGGAGGAGTGAGGGGTAGCCCGCAGGCGACCCTCGACACAGGGGACACAGGGGACACAGGGAGGGCCAGGCCCCGGAGGAAGGGGAGGGAGGGACCGGGGAAGGCCAGAGACAAGAAGGCGAGAGGCCATGCCCTGGAGACGAGGCAGGGAGGGGTGACCCATCCTGTGGTGCCACAGGAGGGTCTCGTGGGACAGGAGGCGACACGAGCAGGGGGCAGACTCAGGACCAGACCTAGACGCCGCAGCAAACACCTGACTCGACGCAGCTACCTGACCAGACGCAGGAGGAGGAGACGGAACTGTGAGTGTGTACAGGCTCGACCCCGGCCCACGTGTGAACGTGGTCAAGTGTCGACCCGTGTCCGCGTCCGTGCAGTGGGTGTCCCGTCGGCGTGCAGGGGTGAACTGGTCGACCCCTGCATCCTGTAGGTCAGCACCCGCCACCAAGTTCGTAGAGAACGAGGGGAGGTAGAGACCGGACAGGGCGCCAGACGGGACCGCAGGGCACGGCAGGACAGTGGAGTAGCGAGCCAGAACAGGACCCCCAGAGGGGTCCGCCAGGGAGACCGCCACTGGCCGACTAAGCGGCGTGAGTGTGGTGCGGTCTTGAAAGAAGGAGCGAGACGCCCCCGAGTCAAGAGTGAAGGTGAGAGAGGGCGGAGCCGACGCAGTACCTGAGAGAGCAGACTCACCAGCACCTGAGGACACAGACTCACTGGCACCTAGAGCGACAGCCTCACCAGCACCTGGAGCAGCAGGCTCAACAGCACCTAGAGCCGCAGTACCAATGCCCGGGCCGGGCGGGAAACACCGGTAACAGTCACCCTCCTCACTAATAGTCACAGCATACATGGCAGCAAGAATAGCATCAAAGTCAAGATTAAAGATAGCTACTCCTGCCCTAGACAGCTGGTCCCAGCGAGGGATCTCAGAGGCGTCAGGAAACTGGCGGCGCCAAGCGTCAGTCAGGCGGCCGAAGCAGCGCTGGGCGGGGTGTGGACCACCACACGGCTCACCCGCACGGTCGCCCGTGCGCAAGACGTAGGTGCACGGACCAGTACCCCCACCCCTCTGACGTGCAGCGTACCACTCACGGAGCAACTGCGGGGAGAGGGTCTCCTGACCACGCTGTTGCCGCTGCTGTTGGCGCTGACCGCCACCGGAGCCACTCCTCTGCGACGAGCCACGACCTCCTCCGCCGCCTCCTCCGCCGCCGCCGCCACCACCTCCGTTGCCACCGCCACTCCCACCGTCGCTGCCGCCACCGCCGCCTTCGCCTCCACTCCCACCACCACCGCCGCTGCCACCCCCGCCTCCACTGCCGCCGCTGACACCTCCACTCCCGACACCACTCCCGCTACCACCCCCACCTCCTCCGCTGCCTCCACCGCCGCTCCCACCGCCCCCGCCGCCTCCACCACCGCTCCTGCCCCCTTTGCCCTTGCCAGAGCGACGTCTCCCACTGGGGGCAGACGCCGCACCGACCGACTCAAAACCAACTAGGTCGGCCGTAGCAGCAGAGGCGACAGAGGGCAGGAGGGGGGAGGGGGAACACCCCTCAAAGATGGGGGTGCGCGGGTCACCACGAGAGGCCCCTACAGCGAGAATGCTCTTCTCGGCTGCTAGGAGGGACTTCTCGAGGAGGTTAACAGTGAGAGTGGTGGGGCAGACTGAGAGTAAGTCGTCCCTGACTCCGCGGAGGGAGTCAGGGAGGCGGGTGACAATGTAGTAGAGAGTGAAGT